ACAAGTATATCTTATTCATAAAAAGATATAAATATTTTATCTTTATCAAACTGTGCTTTTTTTCAACTACATAGTGTGAATTCAAATTCGATGACGAGGAACCCACTTTGAGACTAATAATGGCTGGAGACGGCTTGAATGGGTAATGAAGAAAAACTTTAATATAACAGCAAATATACAACGTTTCGACAAGGTTTTGTCGAAACGTTGTACATTTGCTGTTATATTAAAGTTTTTCTTCATTAACCATTCAAGCCGTCTCCAGCCATTGATAGCTAAAATGGTTAAGAACAATAAATATATATTGTGGATAAAACAACTGCTGCCTTAAATTCCAAGATGTTAAAAGCGCAGTACAATATATCTCTTTCTTACATGATACGATAACAATGTAACTTGATACTTTAATCTTATATTAGACAATGAGATGTCAGTAAAATACACCAAAAATATCGTTGACAGAGAGTGTAACTAACTGATGAATCAATGTATGGTGTTTTGGGATTCTTTAGCTCACACAATGATCCTTTACTCATATTGAAACTTCAATAACATGAAGATTCATATTTATTTTTAGTATTATAAAACATTATAATTATTGCACGTTTTTCTTTAAAACAAAAGAAGGTGAAAAACGTATATCACAAAAAAATGGCTAGCGTTAAAGAGATCTTTTAATGTTCACAACGTTTCGGGCTGGAACATTAAAACATCTATTTAACTTTAGCTGTTTTTTTGGGGTATATTTTTTGTGACCCGTACTTTGGTTTTCGATTTCATGGTCCCACAACAGTCTTTAGTTGATTTGATGTATTAAATTAGCTTTATTCACTACTGGGTTAATGTTTTGTTATTATAGGTAACTTGCTATAATAATAAGTTAAGAATAATTGTCGTAGCACGTTAAATATATGCAGTACTCTTAAAAATAATAACGTTTATTAAATTTTTACTCTCTAAACAGCCTGAAATGTTGTACAAATTACTTTTCTGTTTCGGTTCATTGATATGTTTTAAGAGTTTCACATTTTAAGTTTTACCTATAATACAAATTATATGTGGAAAGTTGATATTACATGCTTCCCACTTTTTGATATAAGTTGGTCTAATAAATGGCACAGTAGAATTAATAGCAGTAATTATTAACAATTAACAAGTCAAAGCGTATTCTAAAGAATTACAAAGATAGTGGAGAAGTTACTCTTATTCACTCACTGTTTTCCCACTTGTATCTCATCAACATCCGGACTCGTCAGTCCTAACCTATTGGTGTAGAGGGCGTTGTAAGACACTGCAGAAGAAGTACGTCAATTACTTACGCTTGCTAAATTTACATATACATTTTAAAAATAGCCTATTCGATAACTGTAGCATGAAAATTTATAAATAGCCCGTATATTGTACATCATCTTGTTTCCTCACTAATATAAACAATATCAGTTTTTTTTGGGGGACAACAATTAATGAATTTATTTTAGAATATGATATCTTGCTTTATGTTTGTTTGTAATTAAGCACAAAGCTGCACAATGGGCTATCTGTGCTCTGTCCACCACGGGTATCGAAACCCGGTTTCTAGCGTTGTAAGTCCGCAGACATACCGCTGTGCCACTGAGGGGGCTTCTAAGTAGAAATAATCCTAGTTCAAAAAAAGTGTTAGTCCGTTTGATATAAACGAGATAATTACCT